TTTCACCAAAACAGATCCAAATAATTCCAAAAATAATAATGGAAAATTAAAATTGAAAAACTTCTCCCTATTAAAGTAGCCCACTGGTAAAAATGAAGGGTTTCTTATTTCTAAGAGTACATGAAAAAGATATGATTTGACAACAGAATTATGTAAAATGGTATCTACTCTAGCTTCCAAATTTTGTTTTTAACCCATACCTTATAAAATTATTTTGGTGCCCTGGCCAATGTGGCTCAGTTGGTTAGAGTATCATCGCATTCACAGAAGGGTCTTGGGTTCAATTCCTGGTCAGGGCACATACTCAGGTTGCTAAGGTAAGGGCTGCCTATGGGAGGCAACTTATCAATGTTTCGCTCTCACATTGCTGTTTCTCTCCCTCCCTCCCTTCCTACTTTCCTCCCTCTCTCTATAGAATCGATGAAAAACATACCCTAGAGTGAGGATTTTAAAAAAACAAAATATTTTGGTTTTACTGAAACACTACTCCCACTTTTTAAAAATATGTTTATTATTGACTATAGAGAGAAACATTGATGAGAATCATTGATCAGCTGCCTCCTGCATGCTCCCTACTGGAGATTAAGCCCAAAACCTAGGCATGTGCCATGACCTCCTGGTTCTTGGGTCGACACTCAACCACACACTGGCGAGGCATTACTCCTACTTTCTAAAGACCAAAAACAGCCCATATTATTTAATTTGTCAATTATTCCTGATATACTTCTGTTTCTTACTTTGGTCATTTTGCTCTGTGCATGTGTCCGTAAAAGCCTTCATATGTTTCAAAGTCCAAAACATTAAAGTATTAAATTTTTTTCTATCACATTCTCTGCAACAAAATAATTTAAAATTCATACATAACTACAAAAATGTTGTATCAATTTGGGGGAGAAATTTTCAGTTGCTTCATGATTCCACTAAAATGTATTGATTTAAGTAGTTTATACATGAACTAAAGAAATGTCTGTCCTAAACAACAACTATAAAACCAGTTGCTGTTTGGATGTGACTTTACTGTAGCATAGATTAAAAGTGTGATTTTAAGTTTTAGCTATCACCTAACCTGTTTCCTGACTCAGAAACAAAAGTTCATTTGAAACACTTAAAATTCTGGAGGCAGTGAGTCCTCAGCAAACTTTTAAACTTAAATTGTCCCTCTTCCTTATAGCTTTTCCCCAACAACAGGAAAGACAGTAACATGAAACCTGAGCTGATCTCAGATGGGCAAGAAGTAATAATTCTCTCTTATAATTTTTAAGTTATAATAACAAAAGGATTAACAATAGTAAATAAAATTAATCTTAACCTTAAACATGACTCTTGAAAATTGCTTACATTAAACAGTATTAAGAAGGAAGTAGCAGTAAATAGCAAGTTTAGTTTTTTTAAGTCATTTATAATAATTTTCTCTTCATCAACAGAGAAAATGTAGATGAGTGGAAGGACAACATTCTCCAAGTAAGATTATCAAATATAAAGTTTGATAGCCAAATATGAATTTGATATTTAGAAGAATGAGAACTGCTTCTTTTGAATTATATTTTGCCACTAAAACTTAATATCCATCAAGATGATATTGGTTACTATAATTAGGATGCTTTTACCCTTGTTACATAAAGTTGTACCTAGTCAAAAGTTATTTCTATTACAATTGGGTATTTTGATCTAATAAGCGAAAAACTACAGACTTGGCAGTGGAACAGACACTGAATTAAAAATCCAAGAATCAAATACCATAAAAAGAGATTTCCATTTAAGCTCTGAAGAAATCTATAGAAAGGGGAGGGAGACTAGCTATTCTGTGCAGCTGGAATTTCATTAAGTTTTGCCAACTAATCTGGTGGAGGGGTTAGAAGGGAAAGGAGATGACACAGCAGTGGGATGTTATTCTGGACATGGAAAGCAGCATGTAACTGCATGTTGGCAACAGTGAGGCAAGCCAATAAAGGGAACAGAGATGTACTTGCTGGTGGCACAGAGAGCTGGCAGTTGAGTAGGCGGGGGTAGCATATGATTCGTAGGCTGGGGTGCAGGAAGAAAGATCCCTGGTGGTAAAGTTGAATAGCTTAAATTTAATACAAAATATAGTAAGAGCCCAGTGAAGCAAGTCCAGAAGCCCAAGATAACCAACAGCTGCAGTACAGCATTTGAAGCTGTCTAAAGGATAGATATTATTCAAGGAAACTTTAAAGAGGAGGTCATTAAAGTTATAAGAGAAAACATTCAAAATGTAGCCATGTTTTCCTTTTAGAAATAAAAATGCAAACCAGGATGTAGAGGCACCAGAGTTGTTTGTTTGTGTTTTCATGATTTGAATAAATAAGAGGAAAACAAGATGAAGTAAATTCAAGTTTAGGCACTTAAGAAAGTTGAGTCGCATAACCAAACCCTAAGAGAAGAAAGGCAATAATTAAGGTGAGTAGGACCTTAAGTGAAAATAATAGGGGATAAAAATTTCTTGGCAACTTGTCAGTGATTGAAGTGTTTAGAAAGAAGGGTAAAAATACAATACACAGAAACAGCAAAATAAATAACAAAGACAATGCTTTATTATATCCTAAAAGCTTCAAAAAAATGAATGAGATAAGACAGTGACAGGAATGAGTCATTTAATGTGATAAAATAGTTTTCAAAACTACAAATAAATCTCTTAGGATTCTTTTTGTTTAAATGCAATTCTAGTTTATTTAAACAACTGACTCTTATTTTTTCAGAAATAAGTTATATTTCAACTGAAGAAATTTTACTAAAAATCCTGAAGAATTCAGCCATTGTTCAGTAATACTTAATAATTTAAAACAAATTTAGTAATGAAGACCTTATTGTGCACTACACTTTTAAATTCATTCCTTGCCTAATGTCATTTAATGTTTAATATAAGGCCTTAAGGCTGAGAAGCTGATATTTTAGCAACTCACTACTTTACCACTAGGTGGCGAAAAAACCCCAAGTAGTATCTGTTAACCAAAGCTGGTACAAAATCCCAAGTACTTGAACTAGAATATCCACCAGGTGTCATCCAAGAGAGAAAAAAAAGAGACTATTTTCTCCACTCAAATACACAAATTCATGGTTTTATGCATATCTATCAAAAATAAATGGCCTGCCCATTAGCTATCCAAATATTTTGCATATTTATATCCTCATATAATGCCTTGTCAACTAAAATCTAACTAAATAAAATTTCATTTCTTCCAATAAAGAAAAACAGAAAGCCCAATGAGTTCAGTTTATTGTGACTCATAGGTTCAACCTATCCAAAAACATGACACAAAAGAATCTAAATGTTTTAGACTTGAATAGCCAAAACTCTTCAGGAGTATATTTGTGTGTGTGTGTGTGGGGGGGGTGTGTGTGTGTGTATACAGATTCGTATTTTTTCTTTCTATATTTCTCTAATAAGCAGGTCTGTTGATTGCAAAACTATAGCTAAGTGTATGGTGTTATTCATCGAATCTCATTGTGATTTTATAAAGGCAATACTATGTTACCAAAACTTTCACAATATGAACCTGCTTTTAAGATGTATTAGAATTATTATTTTGAACAGTCCAAGACTGAAAATCAGAATTAGAGCCTTGCAGAATTAAGCCCTATTTATAAACCAAATCATGCTTTTAAAAAACTATGGTATGTGCTGCACTAATTTCTAACAAAGATTTTCCGATCTTATTGTAAACATTATGCCAGGTACAACCCTATGTCCTGCTGCCTTTTGAAAGGTGGTACTTTTTTAGGCCGAACTCTATTCTTAATCCTCTGGACACGGGAGTTATAATCATGTCATACCCTGCAAATTTAGCTGTAGGTGGTGTCTCAAAAAAGGACTTTTCCTTCCTCCGAGGAAGTGGTCAAGCCTTTCTTCCCCTTAGTGTCATCATGCAAACAACTGGGTAGTTTTTCATTGCAATTAAGAGATGGGAAAGAAAGCAGTCGAAGAGAAAGCGAAACCTGATTCAATTATGCTTGCTGGTCCTCCTTGCTCTTTACAGTATTCTACGATTCCTTTGGCCTCAAATGAGTTCATTTCCACCCTGGCTGTCAAAGCACTTTTCTTTTCTTTTCTTTTTTTTTTTCTTTCCCCAAACAAACCAACAAAAACATCCAAGCCAAGAAAGCTCTTGCCTGAGAACATCATATATCTTGTCTGGTTTCATTGCGTTTTCTTTTGAAATTTCGCTAAGATTGCGCTCAGCCACCAGCCGCTTGCCCAACCGGTTGTTCCCCCTGCCCTCATCTCTCTCTTCAACTCATCCCTTTTTCTCCCCCCCCCCTTCCCAGCCAGGCACGGCGGTCAAAAAAAAAAACAAAAAACCCTGCCAGTGCCCACACAGCACGCTCGGGGCCGGACCCGCTGCCGGGCACCCTTACTTGGCTCGGCACAGGCTCCCCGCCAGCCCGGCCCCGCGCCCCGCCGCCGCGCTCTCCCCGCGGGGCTCCGGGCGGCGCGTCCGTCCAGGCTTTACGGTAGCCGGCCCGCCAATGGGAGCGCCCGGTGCAGAGGAGTCAGGCCCCGCCTCCCGGCAGCCCCAGGGCCGCCCCCCCCCCGCCCGCCCCGAGCTCACACCTACTGTACCCGCGAGCGAGCGAGCGAGGGAGCGAGCCAGGCGCGGGCGCGGGGGGGGGGGGGGGGGCGGCGCGCGCATGCGCAGCGGCGTTGTTTTGCACTCTTATTAAAGTGAGCTGGCAGCCCGGCCGCCCGTCTTTGTACGGAGACCGCGGGGACGGGCGGGAGCCGGCCGGGGCCTCGCGGCTGCCCTGACTTTTTAAGAAATCTCAATGAGCTCTCTGTGAGGGATCGCTGGTCGCGCCGGTGAGCTTTTTTTTTTTTTTTTTTTCTTTATTCTTTTACCTCCCACCCCCACGGCAAAAGACATCGATCAGTGTTCCGTGAAGATCCCATTTTACATGCGATCTTGACTTTTTTTTTTTTTTTTTGGTCTTGCATTATATTTTTATATAGATTTTGGTTTTGTTTTTTTTTTTTGGTTATCAACATGGTGCTGGGAAAGGTGAAGAGCCTGACCATAAGCTTTGACTGTCTCAATGACAGCCACGTCCCCGTGTACTCCAGCGGGGACACGGTCTCAGGAAGGGTGAATTTGGAAGTGACGGGGGAGATCAGAGTCCGATCTCTGAAGATCCACGCGCGGGGGCACGCCAAGGTGCGCTGGACCGAGTCTCGCAACGCCGGCTCCAACACCGCCTACACGCAGAACTACACGGAGGAAGTAGAGTATTTCAACCATAAAGACATCCTGATCGGACACGAGAGAGGTAAGTTTTTTTGTTTTTTGCTTTATGGGATTCAGGAATCATGAACCTTCTAATTTTTTTCTGAATCGATAGAGTCCTCCTCCCGGCCTCGCCCACAGCGGGGCGGCGGGAGAGGAGCGAAGTGGGGGACCTGGGTCCTCCTTGACATTCGCCGGCGCCGAGCCGCCCAGCCCGCGGGCGTCTATCTGCAAAGTGACTGCAAACTGCACTTCCCCCCCGCCCGCGCCGCCGTCTGTGGGCGCCCGTGCCATCGTCTCCCCAACACGCTCTCGACCCGATTGCCAGACGCTGCAGCCCAGGGGGGTGGATTCTTCTTCTCCCCCTTGGACTCTGCAGCCTTAGGTCTTTCCCCACACGAAGCTTCCGACAAGAAATGGAATAGCATCTTTAAGATGAATTTAGAGATGAAATCATAAGGTGTATTTCATGTCTTACTATTGCCCCGCAAAAGACTTGGAAGAATTGATCCTTGTTCTTTGGCCAAGGGTTCCTGTGGCTTATTTTGACATATGGTATGAGCACCCCACGTGTTGGGTCCCCCCCCCCTTCCCCACCCACCCATTTGCAGTTTCTTTGGAAATTCATATCATTCATGCTCCATTCTAAAGGACTGCACCCATCCTATCCGTGGGTTTCCAAGGGGGCTCCGAGGCCCTTTGGGGGAAACGTGCCTTTCTGAGCATCACGCCCAACTTTGAAACGTGCACCTTCAATGAGAACCCACGCCGGTCAGAGGAAACGGGAAAGTGTTCATTCGGCGCGTTGGTTTTGATTTTTTTTTTTTTTGTTAGAAAAAGGGGCGAGGAAGGGTTGTCAGACCCGGGAAGGGGCCCGAGGTTCCCGATCTGCTTGTGAGTCGTTGCATGGTGGGGTTATAGGAGACTCTGAGCCTGTTTTTCTAAGTTTCCACCCTTTGTTAGAAGCGGTTCAATCCTGTTTGGGACCAGTTCTGGGGGGTGGCGAGGAGGGGCGCTCCTCCAGCTCCGCAGATTGGCTGCACGCGTCAGGTGGTGGCGATGACTTAATTCCTAGACCGAGAAGAATATAGTGTTAGAGCCGGTTATGTAATTCTGAACTTCTCCTTTTTTAATGCGATATTTAAGCTCTGGTGCGGGCTGTTCTCCAAAAGGAGAGCACATTTTTTTAACCTTCGTTTTCAATCTTCAATAATGCACATGCCTGAGGACGGGCTAAGGGAGCCAAAGCAAGTGTAGAAAGCAGGGATGCTTTCAGCCACAGGGTTGTTAATGCACTGATGGTGTTTTTTTTTAAATATTAAGATGAAATCAGTTCTTTCCATAGGGTTTCATTACACACAGGCAATTTGCATCTTGACATATTTCTAGTTCATCTCCCCACGCAGTAACCCTGATAAAGAAGCGCCAATGCCTCATGACAGTCGTCCTGTTTATTGAAAAGCATAGACATGAGTTTGTCTGAACCTTTCTGAATATTATGCAGCTTTTTATAAAATGGTGGGAAGAAACAAAGGTGTTTTATATATATATATATATATATATATAGAGAGAGAGAGAGAGAGAGAGAGAGAGAGAGAGAGAGAGGGAGTTGAGACTGTAAGAATAGCGACTTATGGAGACAAAAACAATTTTGTAAGCTGCTCCATGATTTCATGGTAAAATAAACTATGGGCTTTTTTAACACCAAAGAAATACCCCTGAGCCTCTGCAAAGTGCAGGCGAGCTCTGAGCCTGGAATACTTTCAATGACTTAAAGCCGGGGCCTCTCACACTAGCCTGGTGACGGAGGCCCCGCCCCCGGCGGCCCGCGATAGGCGGAGCCGGGTTTGTTAGCCTGTTGCTAAGGCGATGCCCGCCTCTGATTGGATTGGGTGCCGGCGGTGGGGAGAGTGGGGCGCGCCCGCGGGGGCGGGGCTTGGAACCGGCGTGCGCCGGTAAAGGGCCCTCCGGGGCGGCCCCCCGCCCCTGCTCGCTGCCCGCGTCCCCCATCACCTTCTGTCTCACCACCGTGGCCTGTTTTGGGGCCCGGAAAACATAACTTGGGGTGTCAGGAGAGTAGATGCGAAAAGCTCCTGTTTAGCCTTTCCCAGTGCCGAGTGGCCCTGGGCGCAACTTGCGCTGCCAATGCTCCTCGGAGGGGAGTTGGGTGGACAGGGTTCGCAGGAGCCCATTTTCCTGTTTTGGGAGAGGAAGGCGTCCGATGCCTTCCGCGGACGCTCGTTTTCCTCTGAGCGAATGCAAAGCCTGTCTACCGACAGGTATAGACCGGCTCCCTTGGTCCGACCCCGGGGAGTGCGCGCGCCAAGGCTGGGCTGGGAGGGATGGGAAAGGGATGGTACCCTCCACAGCTGGGGCGGGCCTCGGCGCGTGTCCCTTCCCCCCCCTCCCCCCATCCTTATTTCCGCGGGGCGCCGGCTCCCCAGCTCCCACTCTGCACCGGTCTCCGTGGATGCCGTGGGGAAGGTGTCAGGGTTGGCCCGAGCCAGCTCGAACCGGTCGCCGGCGGGGGCGTGTAAGACGGAAGCGCGGCGGCCGCCGGCTCCGCCCCCCCCCCCCCCCCCCCGGCCCAGCAGGCTAGGCTGCGCGTGCGCGCGCGCGCGCGCCGGAGACGTATGCCGTATGTATAGCGGGGCGCGCGGGCGGCGGCGCGCGGCGGCCGGCTGGGATCTGCTCGCGCCGGTTTAGGCCGGTCCTCTCCTGCTCCGCGCTGGTTCTTGATTGACAGCCCGGCACTTGTTTACCGCGGCGCGGCCGCCGCCGCCGCCGCCGCCGCCGGAGAGACGGCTGAGCTGGCACATACCGGCGCGGGGGGAGGGAGGCAGACTTGGGGAGCTCCCGGGGCCCCCCAGTTCACCAGCGGGTTTTGGTGCTGAAATCCGTTCCGCGGCGGCGCCCAGGGGAACTGGTACAAGATAAAAGCATCCGCACTCAGGCGCGTTTCCCCAGGTTACAGGGGAAGGGATAGCGGTAAAGACTGCTACGCCGAGAACATTACCTGAATCTATTAGAACACACACACAAGTCAATTTAAAAATCCAGCATTCCCCCCACTCCCACTGTTTTTGTTTGTTTTGGATTTTATTTTTTATTTTTATTTTTGGTTTTTAGTTAATATGTCTGGAGACATGTTTTAAGCGATCTAGTTGAGCTAAAGAAATGGGTTTCTTAAAAGGAAAGGCCATCCCTCTCCTCGAGCCCCTGGCAGCCGCGGGTCAGAGCACAGGCCCCGGGTGAGGGGGTGCCCGTGGGCCGCCGCGCCTCCTAAATAGGAGGCACGTTTTTTACACACAATCACGTTTTTAGCTGCTGCTGGGACAGACTGGCTATGGTCATTTAAGGTGCAATAAAGAACCAGTGTTTTCAACTGTGAAACTGACATTTAAAATCACTGCCTTTTTTTTTTTTTTTTTCTCCAACATTTAAGTTTCCTAATGGTTATGTTACTGTCACAGTCACATCTGTATCGACTGGTTTTTAAAGGTGCACCTGAACAGTTCTGGTTTTATATAGCTAATGTGATAAATTCAAGAAAATAATTGGAGAGGCCGCTGACCTTAGCACTAAACAGGAGCGGGGTCCCCAGTGAGCGGGCAGTCCAATGGGCGCCGCCCGGTGCAGGCCATGGCGCGCCGGCCTGCACCGCCCATTGCACAGACAGGGCAGCTGGAGTCCCCAGGCGTTTATTTTCCCCGGAGACTATGAAGTGGGAGTTAGAGCTCAGGCCTTGGTTATCCCGCCATGCCACCTGCCGCGTGTGTGTGTGGAGGTTTAATAACGGGGTTTTTGTTCCTTTTCTTTCCTGTGTTTTAGATGACGATAATTCCGAGGAAGGCTTCAACACTATTCCTTCAGGAAGGCATGAATATGCATTCAGTTTCGAGCTTCCACAGACGTAAGTATTAGAAGGAACGGGCACTTTTCATAGACATCTTTTTTTTTTTTTAATTAAAATTATATTCTAAGTTTAAATTCTTTAGTTTTTTGTGTGTGTGTGTGTTTTTTTTTTTTTTTTTTTTAAAAAAAACCCTTTTCATTACCGAATCTTGCTAGAGGAAAACAATGTGTTCAAAAAAAAAAAAAGCTATTTTATAATGTAATGTGGCAAAATTATAGAAGGCAAAGCTTAATTCTTAGTGCTCTGCCTCAAGATTTATGAATAAGATTTCATTTAACCTGAGTGAGTTGAAGGTGCCAGTGGAATAGCTAAGCCCTGTATGCTTAGTTGACCATCAGCATTAGCAGGAAAGGTAAAAGGTAATAAGCCTCATAAGTCATTTATAAAAATGCAAGCTGCTTTATTTTTGCTAATGTCAGCCGGCAGCGGTGAGCTAAGAACATAGACGCATTAGGAATATCCTGACGTTAGGAGTGATGTGCTTTGGATATGAATTCACTAGCTTTTGTGCAAAGAGCTATTGAGAAGGTGACACAAGAGATATTATGACTTGGACTTGAAACATCCATCAGAGATACCTTAATATAAGGATTGGGATCTAATAGGAGAGAAAGATGGAAAAATGGAATAATCTTCATGTAATGAAAGATTGTTAGAAGAGATTATTCAATGTTTTTAAAATAATGCCTTAAACAGGTTAGCCTGACAGGCAAAGTCGGATTTGTGATCATTGTTTTGGAGGATAAACTTACAAGAAGAATTTATCAAATGCCAAATATACATAATTCTGTTTCTTATCTGTAAAGCACTCATTTGAAATAAACTCTAAAAGACTAGCAAACTATTTCATTTTATTTCTCTGGGCTATGCAAATTAATGCAAGGCTCTAAAATGCAAAAAAAAAAAATTGTTAAAAACGTAACTACTCATTCTAATATAAGTTAGCACTCTACCTTGTAAATAACTGAAAACTGGGCATTTTTCTAATGAAATTATGAGAAAGAGACTAAACTTACTAAAATAAAATATTTCACAGTAATAAAATGGGCAAAATTGCAGGTTCTGATTCCCTTTATACAGGTGAATAGAAATGTTTCTTTTTCTTTAAGCCTATAGAGTAAAGTTTGAAAACAGCCAAAATAAAATATGAGGACACTGGGAAATATAAAATATTTTTAGTATTTCAGTGGACTTTATGAAATATGGAATTTTTGAAACTATAATGACTATTGTAGGCCTTTTCTAGACCTTCTTAATTAGTTACTATAAAAAGATATTAACTCCTGGCAAATTAATAGAGAAGCACTATAGGGAATTTGGTCGGATATTTAACCAGTGTCTATAATTTCTCAATAGAAATAGTAAACCATTCTTAACTTTATTTTAAATTAAGTTCTTGACCTTTTCAAGAACTATTAATTTCTAATTTTTCATAATTTTGCCACCAACATTAAAAGTAGCTGCTTCTTTATTTAAAGAGATTGTATATTTCTGGCTTTTTAAAGCAAAATTTCTATAATGTTTACCAACTATTTGTTTTATTTGGAAACAAGACTTTTCCCCCAGTGACTTATCCCTTTGGAAATTTTCAAAAATTATGTGTGATACCTCACTGGTATATAAACAGTACAATATGCTAACCTGCTGTGTAATTCTTAGAAAGAGGTATAATATTAATATATTGACCTTTATATTCTACACAGACCACTTGCTACCTCATTCGAAGGCCGACATGGCAGTGTGCGCTATTGGGTGAAAGCCGAATTGCACAGGCCTTGGCTTCTACCAGTAAAATTAAAGAAGGAATTTACAGTCTTTGAGCATATAGATATCAACACTCCTTCATTACTGGTAAGAATTGACTGAATTCTTCATTCTTTGTTTTGGCATACCAATACTAAAGAATAATCACCTAAACTTAAGCTATAATTTTATAATTTTAAAATAGTGGCTTTATTTTAAAAATTCAACAAAATTAAAACAAAAAAATAAATCTGTTCCTTGGATACTTGTAGTACAAGAGGAGCAGTAGTATTAATTACTATTTTAATACAATATCACTTACTTTGAAAATACCATAATGGATAATTCGTATTGCTTTGCATTATTCCAATGTAGGGATGTCAAATGATGGGGAGATTATCACTTTCTTAAAAAAATTTAATTTCATCTTAAAAGAAATCCTTTTTAATTGTATTTTTTCCACAAGATTCAAATTTAACTTCAAAAACATTAATTGGTTTAAACAAATGATAACATCTTTAATAAGCAAGTAAGAATTTTTTTAAAACGTGCAGTTTTCCCTTTTTTACACATTAATTTTCACATTCTCAAAGAAAGATGTTAGCATTTGGGATTTATAACCAAATTGCTTTCCAAGTTACATTTTTATTTAAAGCAGTTTAATAAACTGGAATGTGGAAAGGGTTTTTTTTGTTTGTTTGTTGGGTGGGTTTTTAATTAATATATATAATGTGGGCTAAAATGGTGTTTATGGTGTTAAGCCTTGCACCCTTTTTCCTTAATTGAATAGAAATTTATATAAAAACAAAAATAATTCAGATCCATTGGTTAGTAAATATATATATTTGGCTACCAACAAAAAGCAGCACTGCTTTTAATTTGTAAATCTCCAAGAACTTAAATTGTATTTTAAAACATTACTCTCCCAACTCATACATTGATCTTTTTGTCTAAATTTATTTCTTACAGTCACCCCAAGCAGGCACAAAAGAAAAGACTCTCTGTTGCTGGTTCTGTACCTCAGGCCCAATATCCTTAAGTGCCAAAATCGAAAGGAAGGGCTATACCCCAGGTATGTATGAAGTGGATTCCCACAATAAAACAATATTTTTTCTCTTAGCTTTTGTGTTTATATTTATAGTAAATGCATTCTGTGGTAAAATAACAAGCTGTGCTTATCCAGTTTTCTTTCATAAATTGAAACTTAAGTCTCCTTTACTTTTATTTTTTATTGATTGATTTTTTTTTTTTTTTTTTTTAGAAAGAGAGAAACATTAATTTATTGTTCCACATATTTATGCATTCATTGGGTGCTTCTTGTATATGTGCCCTGACTAGGGATGGAACCCAATACCTAGGCATATCGGGGCAATGCTCTAACCATCTGAGCTACCCAGCCAGGGCCTCTCCTTTTTAAAAGAGCTACTGTAGTTCATTTTTATAACTCTTAAGTTCATTGCCACTCTTAGAACAGCATTTCATCCATGTAGTCTGCTGAACTTTCCAGCGTTAGCCTAAGAATCTGCATTAGTTTTGAGGCTTTTGTTTGTTTTATTTTGTTTTCTTACCTGATAATTTTTTCCCTCTATAGGTGAATCAATTCAAATATTTGCTGAGGTTGAGAACTGCTCTTCCCGAATGGTGGTGCCAAAGGCAGCCATTTACCAAACACAGGCCTTCTATGCCAAAGGGAAAATGAAGGAAGTCAAGCAGCTTGTGGCTAACTTGCGTGGGGAATCCCTATCATCTGGAAAGACGGAGACATGGAATGGCAAGTTGCTGAAAATTCCACCCGTTTCTCCATCTATCCTTGACTGTAGTATAATCCGTGTGGAATATTCATTAATGGTATGTATAAATTTAAGGGGTTTTATTTAAGTTTTAAAATCACAAGGATATAATTTTGTCTTATATCCAAGATTTGATATTTATATTCCAAATAAGATATATTCAACTAAATAAATCTTTATATTTTGCATTGTAATTATTAATTTTATCTTATATGTATGTGAATGTATTACAAAATACTATACATATGATAAACTTTTTTTATATATCATGCATATAAGTAAAAAATGAAGTAAATTAGGACCTCATATAACATTTAAAACTGGGTTATTAGTTTTTTTAAAAGGAAATAATACTTATCATTCTAAACCTAGCTTCTCCTTTTACTGTTTTAGGTATATGTGGATATTCCTGGAGCTATGGATTTATTTCTTAATTTGCCTCTTGTTATCGGTACCATTCCTCTACATCCATTTGGTAGCAGAACCTCAAGTGTAAGCAGTCAGTGTAGCATGAATATGAACTGGCTTGGCTTATCCCTTCCTGAAAGACCTGAAGGTAATTTGATATAATGTATATCTAACTTTAATCTCCTATTGTTTTCAAGAACATAATCTTACTTCTGATATTTTATGATTAAACTTTTGTCTATACCTAAAAAAGAGTATATATGTCCCTAATGTTAGTTTTAAAACCTAATCCCTCTAGTTTTGAACACAAAACAAATGATTATTATTTTACTTCGATATTTCTTTTTAATATCTACTATTTCTGTATATTTTGACATGCATCAGAACATGCTGTTCGAATTGCGTGTATCTTTTTCCTTCAGCACCACCCAGCTATGCAGAAGTGGTCACAGAGGAACAAAGGCGGAATAATCTTGCTCCAGTGAATGCCTGTGATGACTTTGAGAGAGCATTTCAAGGACCACTGTTTGCATATATCCAGGAGTTTCGATTCTTGCCTCCACCTCTTTATTCAGAGGTAAGCACCAACTCCTCAAATATAACCAGACTTTTTAAAAATACAGTTAGTTTTTTATTATGATTATTTAGAAAAAACATAATTTAAAAACAGATTAAAGATTAGATTAGGGTTGTCAACTAAGTAGGACTGTTCACTTCTATTGGTAAAATAATCTCACCTCATGCTTTTCAAAATGCCAGTTAAAAAAATAATTTATACTTTAAAGCATCAATAGAACTACCATTTTGCAAGCATTGGTTAATAGATAGAATTTACCTTATCATCCTTTTCCAATTTAATTCTTGCATATTTTAACCTTGTCAGCCATGAAGGAAAATAACATGTTTGCAATAACATCTTAAACCACGTTTCTACATGTTATTTTTATTCATTTCATATTGATGACAGGCCCTTATGTTAATAAAACATGGCCTTTAATAGGAAAAACAAACTTAGCAGCAAAATATTATATAACAATTAGAAAGGAATGTACAGTTCATTTGAGGATCAGCATATTGGGCTCTGGGAATCAGGAGGGACTCTCCTGAGAAAAATGATTAAAAGTACACCTCAAAAGGTAGGGTAGTTCAGATCTGAAGAGCAAACAGCCAGTGCAAAAACAAACAAATAAACCAAAGAGAATTAAAATTTTAAAACCGCTGAAACCGGTTTGGCTCAATGGATAGAGCGTTGGCCTGAGGACTGAAGGGTCCCGGGTTCGATTCCGGTCAAGGGCACGTACCTTGGTTGCGGGCACATCCCCAGTGGGGGATGTGCAAGAGGAAGCTGGTCGATGTATCTCTCTCATCGACATTTCTAACTATCCCTCTCAATTCCTCTCTGTGTAAAAATCAATAAAATATATTTTTAAAAAAATAAATAAAAAATAAAAATTTAAAACAATAAATTGGTTCATGTTGTGATTTAATTAACATCTAGTAACATAAAGGGGAGCTCAAAAAGCTATTTTTACTTTTTTTTTTTTCTTTAAAGGATAGTTATTAAAAGAAAAGTTATTTAGCTTTTTTCCTTCAAAAATGGGATTTACCTAAGTACCTGTATTAAACCCAATAATTTGCCTTCCTGTGCCCTTTATACCTGAGAAGCAACAAAAATACATTCACTTTTATTAAACATGTATATATGAAATTCACTCCAAAGATAGAGAAGGTGGAAAGCCTCTCTGTTTCTACTGGGTTCAGCATTACTATTTACACTATTCCTGGGCCTTTTCTGAAGTTTTATACCCATGAGTTACCATGAATATTGTTTACACAACTACATTCTTCCTAAAGCCTACAGAAGAGGTTTTTAATAAAAGAATGAAAGGGATACTTTACAAAAGGATTTTTTATATTGTATTTGAGTCTTAAGGGCTAGTAAGTGCTAACTAAAACTCCATTCACTGGTAAAATTTAACCATTAGCTTTTGTGAAAGAACTATTCAGGCATATTTTTATGAATGTTATTAATCTAATAATTGCATATCAGGCACTTCATAGATAATACTAATACTTTTTCTTCCCCATATTAGCTATGTATGTCCTTTGTAATTAGATTTGTCAATTAATACTCATTTGCTACATTCTTACTAGACCTTATCAAATAATTTTGATAAGGTCTAGTTTAGCCATTTGCTACATTCTTACTAGACCTTATCAAATAACTTGGAATTTTTTTTCTCTTTTAAGATCGATCCAAATCCTGATCCATCAGCAGATGATAGACCATCCTGCCCCTCACGTTGAAGGAACATGTGGTTAAATCAAGTTGATGTGAATTCCAAATTGTATCTCTTCCCAGCTGAGGACAGAGAAGTATCTTGGAGACACGTTTTCAGAGGAAGTGGAGTTGCTTTTGCCCAGAAAAATGGCAAATACGTGAAACAACCAGTGATCATGCTTTAGAAGCCTATAGCAACATTCTGGGACTGCTCCAACATGCTTGAAGATCTAAGCTTTTCTTTAAAACTGGCACATACCAAGAGCAGTCGTCTTAGCCTATGGTCATACGTGTCAAGACACCACGTTATAAAGAGGGATGATTTCCTTCTTTTGATTTGAAAATTTGCACATGCTCAATGCTTACATTGTGCAGTTCAGTGTCACTACAGCTTTTTTTTTTTTTTTTTTCCATTAATGCCAGACTCTTGATACTCATATAAAACTTGTTTGTGGTCAGCACAACAAGGAACAAAAGAAAGCTTTGAAAAAAAAAACTTTTAACATGAAAAAAAACGCACTGACATTTTTTTTTTTATTTAATATAGCCTGGACTTTACCTGCGTATGCACATGCTCAGAATTGTCCTACTAGGCTGACCATGTATCACCTCTTCAGCTTGGATCCTATTGTGGATTTATTTACAAACATCAAATGCCTTCAAGCCAATCCTTCTTGCTGTATGTTTTGCAGCCTACTGTAGTAGATACGCAACAGATATGTGGGAAAAGATATAAGAGGAGGAAGCTAATAAGAGACTTTGTCAAGATTGTATACCTTCTTGGTTTCTTTTAAGAATTTGTTGCCTTTCTACTATTATAGCAAAGCAGCATTTTGTTACTGACTGCCTAAAATCACTTAATCTCAGGTGAACGCATCACTTGCCAAACTGTTGGAATGCTATTTTGTGTTTTGTTGCACTGTTGAGTTATTTTTTTTGTTTGTTTGGTTGGCTTTTTGGAGAGGGAAATTTGAAAAAGGGACATACACAAAAGTGATAACCCACCCGCATTCCCTTTTTATCATTACCTATAAGAAGAAACTAGAAGAGCTAAGAATGGAGTAGAGAAAGGCAGTATGGCAGGCACCAGCAAAGAGTTAAGGGCTGTTGCTCTTAAAAATTATTGTGTTTTGTTTTTAAAAAAAAAAAAAAAAGTATGGAAGTTTTCCAGTCACAAGAGGAGGAGAAAATACATTTATTTTTATACACAGTTACTTAATTACCTCCAAACACATATGTTGGAAATCATTTTTGCTGGTGCAGAGTATTTTAATGAGCAGGAATAAATATCAAGTTATGATTAGAGAGCTCAATTTTTACATTTTTTATCCTGCTCAAGATCTACAAAAGCTTGAAAACCAGTTTATTCTGAAAGTGTATACCTTCAAAATTATAAATACTAGAATATATGCTGGAATAATGTTATATATTTTTATATGTTTTTTTTTTTAATGGAAGTAATTTTTTTTTCATTACCTAAAGAACATTTTGCTAAACATGAAAAATCACTGACTTTGAGTATAAGTAGAGAAGATAGGAAAATGATTGCATCAGTAAATTATAGTTTATATTAAAGATAATTTACAGTTGGCTCATAACAAATATACCAGCATTCATGGTGACACTTAAAACAGCATTTTCTGAATGCTCAGAAAATTGTCTTACTTTTAGAAGGAATTCAGCTCTGGTGTTTTTGGGAGAAAATCAGCATCTCTGATGTTACAACATATGTGTGAAATGGGTGTTACATCTATCCTGCCATTTAACCCCTCAGTTTAATAAGGTGACTGAAAATAATAGTAACTGGCTTGGTGCTTGACCTGGTTAATACTGTCTTAAAGCTTCATACAAAACAAATAGGCTTTTCCATAAGTGGCCTTTAAGAAAACATGGAGGACAATTCATGTTTGAAAAATGCTGACAGGGTGAAGAAAGCCCAATGTAAAAATGAATCGCGTTTTAAGTGATTCAGTTAAAGGGTTTGGGCTCCCGTAGCAAACTAATACTAGATAATAAGGAAATGGGGGTGAAGTATTTTTTTATTGTTAAATCATTTTGTGAATGTCCCCCTCAAAAAAAGCTAATGGAATATTTGGCATAAAGGGCATTTGGTGATTTTGTTTTTGTTTGGGGAGGGGGGTTGTCAGAAAATCCCTTTTCTTTTTTATGTCTAATTTCTAGGGAACAATTGTTGATATGCATAGTATTGGAATACTTATCACCATATACTCATAAATAACACATGAAAGCAAGAATGACCAATATTCTGGCAATTGGCACTAGGTCACCAAATAATATGTCACAATATTATAATTATATAAAACTTTATAAAATAAAGTTTTGTTTTCCCCATTAGAGTATTTCTTTACTTTTTTATTTAGAGGCATTACTTTACTCTTCCCTAAATATTGGTCAATTTCTGACATAAGGTGTGAGGTTCACAGTTGTATTCCAGTATTCAAGATAGATTCCTGATTTTTCAATTAGGAAAAGTAAAATCCAAAATGTTAGCAAAACAAAGTGCAATATTAAATGTTTGCTTTATAGATTATACTCTATGGCTGTTTGTAATTTCTTTTTTTTTTTTTTTCTTTCCTTTTTTGGTGCTGAATATGTCCTTGTAGGCTCTGTTTTAAGAAAACTATGTGGGAAATGATTTGATTTTTCCTATTGTTCTTCCTTGTGGAAAATAAAGTGTTTTGTTTTTTTTTTCTTTTTTGTAAAACTGTTTGGAGATTTATTTGAATCATATTAGTATCATACAGGCAAACACTTAGGACAATTAAAACTCCAGCCATTCTGGGTAAAAATTATTTCTAGATTCACTAAAGAAAATAACTTAAGGCTTAAAGGAATTTTGAGTACTACTTATTGTTTTTATTTAATAAGTCATTAAGTTATGGATACTACCTTATAAAACTTGTCATATATAAGAAAGAAACTTAACCAGGTAAAGTACTTTCACTTAGATACCAGTTCCCTCTCACTGTGATATGTCCAAGTTTCTAGTATTTCAATAAAATTGGATAGGTGCATGCAAAAAAAAAAAAAAAAAATGAAGCTAGATTACCAACTTATACCATACCCAAGAATAAACTCAAAATAGATAAAAGATTTAATAAAGTCATGAAACCATAAAAATCCCAGAAAACAGCCAGCAAAATTTCAAACATCTCCATATTTTTGCCCAAACATCTAGGGCAAGGGAAACAGGAGAAGATAAACAAATGGGACTACATCAAAATAAAAGGCTGCACAGCAGCAAAAGAAACCCAACAAAATGAAAAAGGGAGTGTATTGAATGGGAGAACAATCTAATGGGTTAATATCAAAAATACATCAAGAAATATTGCTTAACAAAAGGAAGATAATCCAATTAAAAACAGGCAGAGGACCTAAATAGACACTTCTACAAGTGGACATGTAGGTGTTGAAGAGACATGAAAAAACGCTCAGTCACTAGTCATCAGAGAGATGCAAATTAAAACCACAATGAGGTATTAACCACTTCAGCCTCTCAGAACGGCTACCAACAACAAATGACAAGTGCTGGCGAGGATGTGGAGAAAAAGGAGCTCCTGGTACACTGCTGGTGGCAATGCAGCTATAGTGCAGCCACTACGGAGAACAGTATGGAGTATCCTCAAAATATTAAAGTATGGAGCTGCCATTTGACCCAGTGATACTGCTTCTAGGAATATATCCTAAGAAACCTGAAACACTAGTAATCAGAAAGAATATATACACTCCTATGTTCATAGCAGCACAGTTTACAATAGCTATGGCGTTTCCCAGAAAAGAAGACATCCTCCGAAAATAAGACCTAGCGCATGGAAAGATGAGACATCCCCTGAAAATAAGACCTAGCGCAACTTTAGAAGAAAAAGTTAATAGACACTCTTATTTTTGGGGAAATGGTAAGATCTGGAAACAATCCAAGTGCCCATCAGTAGATTAATGGATAAAGAAGCTGCAATATGTTTACACCAGGGAATACGATGCAGCATTAAAGAAGAAGGATCTCTTGCCCTTTGAGACAGCATGGAGGGACCTGGAGAGTATTACGCTAAGAAAAATAAGCCAGTCAGAGAAAGATAAGATCACATGATCTCATTCATATGTGAAATCTAAAGTACAAAATAACCAGATGAACAAAATAGATCCAGAGAAATAGAAACATGGAACAGACTGATAAATCCCAGAGGGAAGGTGGGGGGGGGGGGGTGTGAGTAGGAAGAGATTAACCAAAGAACTTATATGCATCCTAGAGGCCTTGTGCACAAATTCGTGTACGTAGCGGGCAGGGACTGCAGGAGGTTGGCTGCCGGCCCCAAGGAGGGAGCCAGCCCTTAGCCCCCATGGGAAAGGGGACAAATCTACCCTCTACCCCTGGATCCCCTTCCCAGTACAGGCCTGAAGGCCCTGGCAGGGTTGGGTGAGGAGGTGGCCGTCGCTGGGCTGGGTGCAGAAGGAACCACGATGTTCCCCACCTCCTCCCCTCCTTTCCTTACCACCTTGCTGCCACCTTACCACACCGAAGCAGGTGGGAAGCCCCCAGGGAAGGGACAGGACGGGAGTGAGACAAACCTTGTGTTGAGGTCTGACTTTCAATAGATTGCAGCGAGAGAGTTGCTCTGCTAGATATGAACCCCAATCCAGAAGCAGGTCTCTATGAATGGTTTAGAACCAGGGGTCAATGGGGGCCATCTGGCTGGGGGGAGAGGCTGTGGGAGAATGGCTGTGAGAGCACAGTGACCACCAGAGGGCAGCTCCTGCATGGAGTGTCTACCCCCTAGTGGTCAGTGCATGCCATAGTGACTGGTTGACCAGTTCTGGTTGCTTGGTTGTAATGGTCGCTTAGGCTTTTAGATATATAGACTAGAGGCCAGGCGCATGATTTTGTTGCCAGGGGTGGGGTCCCTCAGCCTGGCCTGTGCCCTCTCACAATTGGGACCCCCTCAGGGGATGTCCGACTGTCAGTTTATGGGCCTAAACCAGTAGTTGGACATCCCTCTCACAAACCAAG